TGATGGCAGGGGTGATGATCTTCGTAAATTCACTGAATGCCTCCAAGTCTACTTTGTCCCCATCAGGCATGGAGGCCATTGGTGACTGACCAATATCTTCAGGCTATTAGTGGGAGGAAGAGGCAGAATTAGAACTGCAGAGAACTTACTCAGGATACGCCAACAGGAAATTTATCATCAAACCCCAAAATTGGAAACATAACTCTTACCTGTCAGCAGAATAGGACAACTTGCCACAGCTGCAGCTGGGTCACCCTGGCCAGCTTCCTGCCAGACAACTTGCTGTGGGACAACTCACTGCTGGCAACTTGCCATTGGAGAATGCTGGAGGCGAGGGGAACTTCTTCCTCTCTCTCCCTCCCTCCCTCCCGCCTTGATCTGGCTTACCCCCAATACCCCTTGAACTCTGTAGCAGAAACTCCTGTGCACTGAAAAGTGTGTCTCTCTCTCTCCCAAGTGATCTTTTTTCTGGTTGAGGGGGAAGTCCTTCTTCCCTTCTTCACTTTGTCCTCCCTGATTTTTTTCCTCAGTCTGAGCTATAGAGAAGGAAAAGGATGTTTCCCTCGCCACCAGCATTTTTCTGCAGTGTGTTGTCCCATGGTGAGTTGCCCGCATTGAGTTGTCCTGCGGCAAGGTGTTTGGGGCAAGGCAACCGGGGGCGAGGTGGTGGTGGCCAGTTGTCCTAGAACCTATGTCAGTATCTTTTCCTTCTCTCAACTTCTTTACAAGGCAATCTCTTTATATTTCATAGCCTTTCTACAATTAGAATCAAAATAATATCACCTTATTAAAATATTTTAATAAACATTTATTTATTTAAATATATTTTATTTAAAAATCTTTAAAACCATTACTAGCAATTTAAAAGACCAGTTTTAACAGATATTATTTTGCTACCACACTGTGAAAATGTCAATACAGATAGTCCTGGACTTACGACCACAATTGAGTCCAAAATTTATCTTGCTAAGCATTACAACCTTTTTTGCCACAGTTGTTAAGCAAATCACTGTAGTTGTGAAGTGAATCTGGCTTCCCCCATTGACTTAGGTTGTCAGAAGCTGGCTGGGAAGGTTACAAATGGTGATCACGTGACCCCAGGACACTGTCATAAATACATGCCAATTGCCAAGTGCCCAAATTTTGATCACGTGACCCTGGGGATGCTGCAGCAGTCATGTGAAAACGGGTCATAAGTCACTTTTTTCATTGTCATTGTAACTTTGGTCACTAAACAAATGGTTGCAAGTCAAGGGCTACTTGTTTAAATTTCTTTCTTATATATTTATATTGCACATTTCTGAACCACCCACCTCTGGGTAATGTACAATAAAACATTAAAACATTAACTGATTATAGCCAGCAGAGTGAGCCAAAAGCCAGCAATTCCTACTCTGCTCAGAAGGGATTTCTATTCCATTTGTCCTTGATCAGAGCTGAGAGGTCACAGCTGTGTCCATTTGCTCAGGCAAATTAACCCTACAAAGGCAACTCTGCAGCCTGGAATCTGCTAAACCAGTGTTTCTAACCTCAACAACTTTAAGGTGTACAAACATGCTGGCTGGGGAATTCTGGGACTTAAGTCCACACATCTTAAAGTTGCTGAAGTTAAGAAACATTGCTAAACTATGGCAGCAAGAGAAATCTTGGAATGATTGAATTCTTGGATTTATCATTAAGTTTATGCTGATTCTGAGTTTAGTATAATTATTAACATTCAAAATGGATTACAATTTTCCCACATTAGTAGCGTGGGAAGAAATCTGTACATTTTTACAAGAGTGCAACTAATGTTAAATGTATAAAATATTGTTTTCAAAGGCTGAACAATGTTTTTATCACCTGTACTGAAATAAAATAAGCTTATAAATTGGCCAGATGGTTTATGTATGAGCATGAATGAAAGATACTGGAAAAAATTGGATGAGAAGCAAAACGTCTTCAAAGAAAAAACAGAAAGTCAGGTTGCCTCTTGAAAAAGCACCTTTGGAACAACCTGCATATTCAGGTAACCAAAACTTGAAGCGGAGTAAATTATGCATATATTCACTTATTCTGCCTGATTTACCTTTAATCTACCAGATTTTGTGGAAAGCGTGGAGTAAAGAGATCTACAGAAAGATATTGACCTTTCAAAACAGAAAATATTATAGTTAATCCTTGCTTAATTACCCTAATTGGGACAGAAAAATATGTGGCTAAGTTAAGTGCTTGTTAAGTGAACCATCATGTGACTGCCCCCTTAGCTATGTCAGTTCCAGCAATCCCAGTTGCAGTCATTAAGTGAATAACCTGCAACTGTTCAGCATGACTGCAACTTGCAACCTCTTGCTGACTTCCCCATTGACTTTATGTTGGCTGGGAAGGCAAATGGCAATCAAGTAAATGTAGGATGCTGCAACTGTTGTAAATGCACTAATTGTGATCATGTGACTGCAGGGACACAGTCGAAACTCACTTTTTTCAGTGCCGTTGTAACTTCAATTGCTAAATGAATGGTTGTTAAGTGAGGACTACATGTAATTCAAAATAAAGAATGAAAAGATGTAAAATTATGTTTGTGTCAATACTGACAAATAGAACTGTCTACCCTATTTACCAGTACAATTTACCAGGAATTTCCGCTTCTGTTTCCAATGGCTGCCTTGGGCGTTGGTACTGCAGTGTGCATCTGTAGCGATGTGGATCAACTCNCGATAATTGATGTAGTGTTCAAATGCCAGCAGATAGGTCTCTTGGCATTTTTCAATCTTGTCAACACAAATTAGTCCACTTCTGTCTGCAAATTAAATGGAGAAGAGGACACAGGTCAGGCAGGCTAAATCTGCATCTGTAAATTTGTCCTTCTGCAAGCAACTAAATTGCCCTAATCCCAGGTTACCTTTCTGACTCACTAAATCTTCTAAATCCTCATTGCTCAGGTTAGAATTAACTGTATGCTCAGTTTTGTCTCCATACTGACAAAGCACAAACCCTTGCTCACTGCCTTACAGCTATCTTATAATGACCTTCAGAAAAAGAGTATAGGTAGTCCTTGCTTAATCACCATTATTGGGACAGGCAACTGTCATTAAGCAATGCAGTCATTAAGTGAGAAATCACATGACCACAACTTGCAATTTTACTGCCACATTTTCCACTGTTGAAAGCCAGATGAGAAACAAGCAAATGGCAATCTCATGACCTCAGGACATTGCAATGGTTGTAAACACCCACTGGTTTGTGAAGTGCCTGAATCTTGATTGTGTGACCATGGGGATACTTCAACAGTCAGAGGTGTGAGGACTGGTTGTAAACTTTCAGTGCTGTTGTAATTTTGAATGGTTGTTAAACAGGGCAGTCATTAAGTGAGGATTACCTGTATAGCTTAAAAGTTCAAAATTTAAAGCAAAAACAGTTGTTCTTTTTCAGAAACCATTTGCCACTTATTTGGCATTGTTTAATGCAGCACACAAAGCACATTTCTTCTCAGCACTATCTCTAGTGTCCCAGGTGTTATGCTCTGCATAGTAGCTGTGGTGCTCCAAAGCAGACAGTGCAACATATTGTGGAACAGTGCCCTCTGAGTGCATATCAGGGAAACTCCAGAGACTTTCTATATGAAACTCCTTCATGTATTGACTATATAAATAGTCTACCTTTGAATCTGAAAATAGAATAGTTTCATATTTAGTCATTGCGTTGTAATTGTGATGTGCTATTTAACACTTCTGTCACATGTTAAAAAAATAAATGCCCTGCATAGTTTCAGAGACTCAGGAGTGTTGTTGGTGTTCTTTAATAAATGATAGCAATGCTGCAGATTGATCCACAAATTCCAGTAAGGAATTAATTCTGGGGATAATTTTACTCTCTCTCTGGATTTCATAAAATTAGTCATTGTCAGTCATAACTGATAATGACTTTTCCCTCTCAATCACTCAAATCAATTTTCAAAAATGTCCCTCAAATCAAACTGACAAAGCTTTCTTTCTGTTTGGTTTCTCAATGCAACCTTCTCACCTGAACAATGTAGTCCACTTTACAACATTCAACTTGAATTCAATTTTTCAACACATCCAAAGGCCACTTTAACTAATCCTACAATTGACTGACTGAAGCCATTACATTAATCCTCTTCNAGTGGGCGCAAAGCCCTTACAGTCCATGGCCATGCCAACGGCAATGCACTTCTTGAATCGGCAAAGCTGACACTGGTTGCGAGTGATCTTATCGATGACACAGGAGCCATCATATTTGCAGGAGTATGTTGGGTGCAGATTTTTCTGAATGGTCCGTCGGAAGAAACCCTGTAGAACAGAGAATACAGTCAGACCCAGGCAACCCTGAGAAAGCAGAGCATGTATCCTTCCATTCTCAAACCATATTCCACTCTCCCCAACCACTGAGCTTCTATATTTTACTGAACAGAATATAGTCCTGCTATATGTAGTGTTATTGACCTTTTCAACTAAGTGGACCTTTTTCCTACTATATCAGTAACAGACATATAATCATTGAGATGACCGGGGGGGGGGGGGAGATACGGGTAGTCCTCCACTTACAACAGTTTGTTTAGTGACCATTTTAAGTTACAACAGCAGTGGAAAAAGTGATTTATGACCATTTTTCAAACTTATGACCATTGCAACATCCCCATGGTCATGTGATTTACATTCAGATGCTTGACAACTGGTTCATACTTATGACAGTTGCAGTGTCCCGGAGTCATGTGATTCCCTTTTGCCACCTTCTGACAAGCAAAGTCAATGGGGAAGCCAGATTCACTTAACAACCATGTTTCTAATTTAAGAACTGCAGTGATTCACTTAACAAAAAGTTGTAAAATGGGGCAAAACCCACTTAACAAATTTCTCACTTAGCAACATAAACTTTGGGTTCAATTGTGATCGGAAGTTGAGGACTACCTGTACATCATTTTAGTGTTTGAAACAATGGTTGCTGCCAGTGTTAATGAGTGGATTTCATGTTCCATGTGTTTTTATAGTTCTAACACAAGATATAGTCACCTTGTGATATTCTGGTACCATTGCTTCTTGGGAGTGAGTACAAGACACAGTTTACCAGCAAACTGGATCCTGCAGAGTTTCCATTTATTTCACTGAGCCTCTTGAAATAAACTTTCCAAAGGATTGCACTTATGAGCTACTTCTTTATATCTCCCACTACCAACCTTAAATGTTTATTAAGCCTACTATTTGCTTTTCAGCTTTTTCAGCCCAGGACCTAATTCTACAGTTCAACTGAAAGCTGGCTGGCATTTTGCTGCAATTGAGTGATGCCACTTGAATTTTCTGCCCAAGGCACTAAAAAAGCTATATCTGCCTGCAATTTGTTTTCTCTTTAAGTCTGTGTTTCCTTTTATGGATTTCAAGAGGCCACAACAGATGACACATTGCAGCCCCCAAGTAAAAGGCAGATCTGCAGTAGCCTTCTGTACAAACAATGGTGATCTTCAGGCACAATTCCCAATTACTACAAAGAACTTAATTGCAGGAAACATTCTGAGGACTGATTCCCCTATATTATTAATGGCCGTAGAGCACGGGTGTCAAACTCACGGCGTCATGTTGCCATCACGTGACGTTTTGTGACATTTTTCCCATTTGCGGAGCTGGGGTGGCTATGGCCTGTGTGTGACTCATACGGCCCGCAGGCTGCCAGTTTGACACCCCTGCTGTAGAGTGTCCTGTATATTTTTTGCTGCAGGCCCCAGTGTTGACCATAAAGCAACTTAGTCTCTTATTGAGTTAATTCTCCCATGCCCTGCCTTTGGGTAAAAAAACCTTGTTTATCTGCAGAAATCCCCTTGTTCATCTTACAATCTAGTACACAGGTGTCAAACTCAATCGTGTCAAGTGATGTCATGTGATGTATCACAACATTTTTTGCCTTTGTGGAGTTGGCGTGGGCATGGCAGGCATGTGATGCATCCGGCTCACGGGCCACCAGTTTGACACCCCTGATCTAGCACAACCTTTCCTCAGCCACCAGGTTTTTTTACTGTTTCCTATCATCATTCATCTATCTCCAGTCTACAACACAGTCCTTTCAACAGTTCCAAGAATGTTCCACACCTTTTTGCACTACTCAGGTGACCCTGGGGACACAGATAAACCTCCAGGTGGCCTCAACTACTCTCTAAAAGAATGCAAATGACCAGCTATCTGCAAGGAGTTTAAATCTTTCCATTCCCCACCATCCAGTCAGAGCTGAAGAAGCTTCTTGGATGAGAAACAAAATGTCTTTAAAAGAAAAACCAGAATGTCCAGTTGCCTCTTGAAAAAAGCACCTTTGGGACATTGCTGTATAACTGAGGATGACTTTAAGTTGCCTCAGGTATGATTGAGGATCAGGTGAAAACAAATTCATAAGGATATGATGAAAAGGTTGCTGAGTCATATTACTGCATGATTTGCATTGAGACAGACCTTTTTCAAATATTTTTTACCTTGCAGCCTTCACAGGTAATACAGCGGTAGTGGTACCCTGTGGCTTTGTCTCCACATACAACACACTGTTCATCTTTGTCCAAATNGTGGGCATGGCCAACTTGGAAAATGTGGTGAAACTCACTTAACAATGCTCTTGCTTAGCAACCAAAATTTTGGGCTCAATTGTGGTCATAAGTTCCCCTTCTTCCTTCTCTGTGAGAAGAGCTCTGTTTTCAAGCTCCTTGTGAAAGAGGAGGAAGGGGGCAGAGGGAGGCTTTTCAGGAGCCAGAGCAGCACTGAAGCTCAATCCAGCATGGGCTTCCCCCCCTCCTTCCTTCTCTTTGAGAAGAGCTCCATTTTCAAGCTGCTTGTGAAAGAGGAGGAAGGGGGCAGAGGGAGGCTTTTCAGGAGTCTAGAGCAGCGCTGAAGCCAGGGGAGGGAGCGTTCCGGTACTGGGCCTCCGGAAGAATGGGTACTAGGAGGCACACTAAATTTCACCAACCGGTGCGCCCGAACCGGTGTGCACCCGCGGAAACCCACCCCTGACATATATATTGATAATGAAGTCTGTTTAAACTAGAGAGGTTTGATCAGGGCTAGAAGAAATTGTTTCCAGTGTTGTGGGGGGCAAAAGAAGGGGACAAAGGCAAAGCACTTTTTTGGGTGAGGGGGGAGGATAAATATGTGGATTATTTTCCTCTACTTTTGTGTTAAAGTTTAAGGCAGACCCTGGGAAGATGAATTTAGACAACAGAGGATATAACAAGGTGGCAACTTTACTGTCCACTTATTTTTTAAAAATCTGCCTAGACAAAGAATGTGTTGGCTACTGCACACATCTACCTCATAACCCAGATTTTGTAAAGCTTCAACTTTTTCATGGCCCAACCCCTACCAATGATGTCCTTGTTTTTCCTATCCATGGGATTCACTGATGCGGACGTGTAATATTTAGAAAAACAAAAAAATGAAAACAACAAAACATAAAACAATGAAAATCTGTTGTCAGAGGTGATGAGGTGAGGGCGTTGTGACCCAAATCCAGACATTGCCCCAGTCCCAAATTGCCCCATGTCCCCAATTCGCCCATGCCACCNTCTATCTATCTATCTATCTATCTATCTATCTATCTATCTATCTATCTATCTATCTATCTATCTATCTATCTATTGTATCTACTATATCTATCCAGCTATCTAGTTATCTATCTATCTATCTATCTATCTATCTATCTATCTATCTAATATATCTATCCATCTATCTACCTACCTACCTAAAATATATTTGGCAAGGGAAAAAAGCAAGAATAAGACTGAAACTGCTACAAGATACTAAAGTGAAAGACAGTTTTGGCTTGCCAGACTGGGAGTTATATTACCAGGCTTCTGCACTTGTCTGGGTGAAAGAATGGGTACATTTGAGACATAAAAGGCTATTAACTTTGGAGGGACATGATCTCCAACAGGGGTGGCATGCTTTTTTATGGTATGGGAAAAATAAAATACATGGATATTTTCAAAGGCGCCTTGTTAGAAATGCACTACTGTTAGTATGGGGGGAAATTAAAGACACTATATAAAAATATTAGTCTGGGTCTCCATGACGGAGGCACTGATTCATCCAAATGTGATTAATATGGAAAAAATTGTAAGGTATAAGGACATTTTGAATAATAAAGGGGAACTTAAATCCAAACAAGAACTGACTAATCAAGGGATCAATTTAGCATGGTGGCCATACGTGCAAATACAATCAAGATATGACAAAGATGCAAGAATATACGGTTTCTAAAAAGAACCAACAGAACTAGACCAGATATTACTAGGGACAGATGAAAAATTAATTTAAAAAAATTATAGCTACTTACTGAGTATTAAAATGGAAGAAGAGCAAGCCAGGGTTTAGTTTCAAACCGTTGATCCCCATCCAGCCCCTAACAGCCTCCAGGCACTGCGAGAGGGAGGCTACAGCATCGCTTAAGCCACCACTCCGATACACAGCTAAGTATCACCAGCATATTGATGATATCTTGGTCTGTGCTGACAGATTATCTCACCCAGCGGCATCATACAAATGTTGAACAGGAGCGGAGAGAGTACAGGAACCCCGCAAAACAGTGGGGAAAGGCTGCATCTCTCCCCTCCCACATGTCATATGTGGAGGACATGCCCAAAGGCAAAAAAGTATTGAACTAAAATACATACTTGGTTAGAAAAAATGATAAAACAACACATAGATTTGAAACCAGAAATATTTCTGCTGGGGATACTACCAGAACAGTATAATAAAGGGAATATATATTTAATTTTGCATGTAGTAACGGCAGCAAGAATAGTGTTTGCACAACAATGGAAAACTGAAGAAGTCCCGACAGATGAAAGTGTAATAAAAAAAAATATTAGAATGTGCTGAGATGGATAGATTGACACTTAAAATAAAAGCAAAGGAAGAAACAGAATACTTTTTAACATGGGATATATTTTACCAATTGTTAACTAACAAAAAGAGAGGTTATAATTTAAAAAGAATTTAAAGAGATAAAAAATTGTATTGAAAATACTGTAAGACGGATAAACTAATTGTTTTATTATTTTATGATTAATATTGATATATTTATTAAGATTACTAGTATGATTATGGTTATTGTTGTACTCTTACTCAAAATTAATTATGCCCAGACAACACGCTATTCAGATAGACATGGAATTTTTTAATGTTTTTAATGAAAAAATGTACCAATAAAACATATATTTAAAAAAAAACACTTGACTGCAGATATTAAACAGGTGAAGGATAGAGTGGATCTTATGGAGCATAAATTGGAGATGTCCAGTTTGAAGCTGATTTGGATGAAAGGGTTCTTTTGGAATTACAGCTTAAACAACTCTAATTAAGATTTTGAGCAGTTCCTGAACTGTATGGAGAGGATATTAGATCAAGGATGATTAAAGTCTTGGCCTGGTTCATTAATTGGGAAGAAAAGACCCTCCACCTTTAAATAGACAAAATTTATAGAGTAAATTCCAGATTTGCTAATATGAGAAAACTACCAAGGAATGTCTTAGTCCATTTTGTAAGAAGAACAATGAGTGATCATGTTTTGGATTGCCACTTCAAATCTAAACTAAGAATGTCAGGATTTTGAGAAAAAGTAAAGCTTATTCTTTCCTCACTGATATTCTGAAGAAGAGAAAAATTGCCTTCCACTGGGACAAACTTGAAGGAGTGATATTCACTTATCAAGAGCAAAGATTGATGAAAAAGTAATTTAAAAACTATATGGATATTTATTGGAGGTTAAATTACAAGAAGAACAAGTTAAAGAAACTATGATAGCTTGGGGGAAAANGCTGACCTGCTGATCTAGCAGTAGCCTGCAGTGCTGCATTTTAACCACTGCGCCACCTTGGCTCAGAGAAATATAAACTACAGACATTTGCAGATGACTTGGTCTTTATATTAGAAGACCCATTAGAAACTGGACCGAAGTTAATCAGAAAGATAGAAGAATATGGGGAAGTTGCAGGATTGAAAATAAATAAAGACAAAACAAAGATTTTAGTTAAAAATCTCACATACACACAAAAAAGAGTGTTGATGGAAAGAATTGATATACAGATAGCTAAAAAAGTGAAGTACCTAGGAATACAATTAACAGCAAAATGCATAACAATTAAAGAGGACAATTATATGAAACTGATGCAACAAATTAAATTAGATTTGGAGAAATAGAAAGATCGGCAACTGCCATTAACAGGAAGAATAGCCCCTATAAAAATGAATATTTTACCAAGACACTTATATTTATTCCAAACAATTCCAATAAAATTGGAGGAAAATATTTTGAAGAACTAAATAAAATAATATTAACATATAGGCTAGGAAAAAAAGCAAGAATAGGTTTGAAAATGTTGCAAGGCTCCAAAAAAAAGAGGGAGATTTGGGCTGCCAGATTGGGAATTGTACTACCAGGCCTCGGTACTTACATGGGTGGAAGAATGGATCAATTTGAGACATAAAAGACTGTTAACTTTAGAAGGACACAACCTTCAACTAGGTTGGCATGCTTTTTTAGGGTATGGGAAGAATAAGATACATAGTTACTTTCAAAGACATTATGTTAGAAATGCACTGTTATCAGCATGGCTTAAAATTAAAAAACACTACTACTTGAAAATACCAGTCTGGCTTTCCACAATGGAAGCTTTGATACATCCTAATGTTATTAACATGGAAAAATTTTAAGATATAAAGATATTTTATTTTATTTATTTTAGAAGAACCATAAGAATCGGGACCCAAGTTAATGAAAATAATAGCAGAGTACGGTGAAGTTGCAGGACTATAAATGAATAAAGAGAAAACTAAAATACTAGTTTAAAATGTCACAGAGAAACCAAAAAAAGAGTTAGTGGATATTCAAATAGTTAAGAAAATTAAATACCTAGGAGTTCAGCTAACAGCAAGATGCGCAACTATAAAAGAAGATATTTATATGAAACTGTTACAACAAATTAAAGTAGATTTGGAGAAATGGAAAAACCTGCAGCTATCGTTGATAGGAAGGATAGCTACAATAAAAATGAACATTTTGCTGAGATTGTTATTCTTATTTCAAACAATTCCAATAAAATTAGGAAAAAAAAATTGAAGAAAATTCTATCTATCTATCTATCTATCTATCTATCTATCTATCTATCTATCTATCTATCTATCTATCTATCTATCCATCCATCCATCCATCCATCTACATATCTACATCCACATCCATCCGGCCACCNAGTCCAAAAGGCATCACTTTGAATTGGAAGCTCCCTAGGGGGCAGTTGAACGCTGTTTTCTACTCATCTCCTTCCCTGATCTGTATTCGGTAGTATGCCTCTCTGAAGTCTAATTTGGTGAAGACGTTTCCCTTGGCCAAGTGAGGTAGCATATCTTTCATGTGGGCCAGGAGGTATAGATTGTGTATGTACACCCCATTTATCCCTCGAAAGTCCACACACTGTCTCATAGTTCCGTCTTTTTTCTCTTTGAAGAGGACTGGTGCTGCAATCCCTGGCTTGGCTGGCTTGATGAACCCTCGTGCTAGTTTTTTGTCTATGCATTTGCGTATTTCTTGCATTTCCCGGGGTGTCATGGTGTACAGCTTGGATTTGGGTAGTTTTGCCCTGGAGATGATTTCGATGGCACAGTCTGCCTCACGGTGAGGAGGCAGAACATCGCATTCTGTCTCACTGAATACTTCTGTGAGGTCCTGATATTCTCTTGGGATCTGTTCGGTCTCTGGGGTTTTGTCGGATGTGGCTCCCAAATGTTCTGGTGGGCTCTTTTGGGGGGTTCCCTGCTTGGGTGGTGTTTCTGCTTCCTGGCGGAAAAGGGGTTGGGGCCCCTTTTCTGTCCTAAGCCTGCGGGTACCCCTTTCCACCAGATGGTTGGTCCCCACTTGTCTAACCAGGAGAGTCCCAATATGACTGCTTCTGGCATTTTGGGGGCTATTATGAATCTAATTACTTCCCAGTGATCCACTAGCTCTAGTCTCACTGGTTCGGTCAGGTGTGTGGCATAGGCTCCCCCCATTAGGGACATGTTGACCTGTTCGAACCGGATTGGGTGGGCCAGTCTTTTTGCTCTGATCCCCAGTTTCAGGACTGTGGTCAGGTTGATCAAGCATCTAGTGCAGCCTTAGTCTATTAGGGGTTGAAAATCCCCCTGGCTTCCTGTCTTTGGGGCTGTGAGGCATATTGGAAAAAGGAAAGGGTGAATTGGTCCCCTCACCATTGGGTCATTTTCGCCCTCGTCAGCACTTCTGTAGGATTCTGGTGACTAGTCATAGTTGCCTTGGGTTCCCCCCACTTCATCTGGTTGGGGAGGGACCTCTGCAGCCTGGAAAGCCTTCTGGGAGGCGTGGATAGCCCATTTGTGG